CTACTGCATACATTAACTGATCTTGATGAAACTTCAACAGTGTGTTCGTTGTAAGAGCCCGATCACATGGATGTGACTATTGTGAGTCAAAGTTATAGCGCCACCAACTGGCAGCAGGAAGTGTGTCACTTCCTAAATGCTTTGAAATCACCCTCTTATTTTTACCCGATTTGCTTCAAACTTTATGTGTATAATGTAAACACACGCCAGATGTAGACCTGTGAAAGGATTATTGATATCTTAGATACTGTTGCCGTGGCAACACATCAAACTTTAATATTCTTGTTTGATGCTTTTGAGACTCTTAGCATGCTTGAAATTGCATGAAACTCGACAGACACAGGTATGCATATGGTTCAGATCAAGCCGGACAACTTTCTAATTAACTGTCATTAGCTCAGACCAAGAGGAAGTCAGATATTTTGGTTTGAATGTGGATGTTTCTGAGAATTTTCTCTCCCTCTCCCTCTGACAGAGAGAATGCACCCTGCCATTCGTGTGTGTCTGTGTGGGGAGGGGGGGGGAGGGGCTCTTTTAGTTTAAACACAAAATTATACATAGGGCCATACTGCCCTCTTGTGTCCAAAATTATATTTATATATACATTATACATATATTTGGTATGTGACTGAGGACCGAGAGCTTTTAAATACGGGACATTGATAATGGCCACGTGCAGAGCGCTCGAGGGAATTCCTATGGAAGTTCTGCTCGCTCATCGCCGTGGACGCGCACCGTTATGAATGCCCGTGCAGCCGTTAGTTTCATTTTAAAATTAGCGCCTTTTCTGGGGCCGATTGCTTGAATTGTGAGTTCAATAGCCTATTATTCTTCATGGAAACCACAACAACAAAAGAGTATAAAAGTTTGGTGTGAACGCAGCATAATGAACAAGCTGCGATCTCAAGATTGCAATGCTGGAGTGTGTGTGTGTGTGTGTGTGTGTGCGTGTGAGAGAGAGGCGCGGGCGAACTGTGTGTGTGTGTGTGTCTGTGTGGGGAGGGGCTCTTCGATTGATAGTTATTATACAAAATTATACATAGGGCCATACTGCCCTCTTGTGTCCAAAATGATATTTATACATATATTTGGCAAGCATGTGACTGAGGACCGAGAGCTTTTAAATACGGACGTCCACACGGACATTGATAAGGGTTGCGCTTGCAGAGCGCTTGAGGGAATTCCTATGGAAGTAGGAATGAACTAAAAAACGTTCGCTCTGTTCTGCTCGCTCGTCGCCATGGACGCGCACCATTATGAATGCCAGTGCAGCCGCATACTTTTTAGTGTCACTTTAAAATTAGTGCAATAACGGGGCCGATTGCTTGAATTGTGAGTTCAATAGTCTATTATTTTTCACGGAAAACACAACAACAAAAGAGTACAATGATAGATTCGCTTAAATAGGGGCTTTTACATAAAATAGCCTATTCCGTCATCATCTTTTCAGTCAGCTCTTCACTCTCGTGATTAATGAAATTTGACTCCTGTTGCTGATATTTGCTGCAACTTTCGTTCCGCTCACAATTTAGTAAGCAAACACGCTTCAAATGTGTTTTTATTTTATTTTTGTGTATATATATGTGTGTGTATATATATGTGTGTATATATATATATATATATATATATATATAGCTTATGTTTCAAATATGAGTTAATTAACAATCGTTGGAAAGAATGATACTTTTAATATCACTAAACCGTCATTAGGTGTCGCTAGGCGACCGTCTTAATGAGCGAGTCATTGATTCATTCGTTCAAACGATTCGTTCGAACGGCTGAGTCATTCATGAATGAGACAGATTATGGATTGGTCGTTGAATCTTTGAGTCAACCGATTCGTTCAAAATGCTGAATCAGTAATGAGAACGCGTTGCTGTGAGATGCTTGATGGTTCTGCTGTGATCTTTGTTTAACTATTTTCGCTGCTGAAACAGAAAAAAAAGTCAATATTGCATCTAAAATGTAAGTGATTTGACGTGTGTGTGTGTGTGTGTGTGTGATTGTGTCTGTTACAGTGATTGTTTAACCCTTGTTAAAGTTTAGGCCTTGTCTTTTTGGATATATATCTTTTTATATAAAAAAAAATAGCATACAACCCATGTATTTTAAATGTATTGTTTGCTTTAAATTACATTGAGATTTGTATGTTTGGTAATTGAACCTGAATGAATTATAAATGAATGTGCTATATTTCAGATCATATATTTGTTTTCCTTAAAATTTGAACTAACACTAACTTTATTCTCATCTGAATGATAGATTATTTATTTATGTATAAAATAAAAACACATTTGATTTTTCTTTTTTAATCAATGTAGAATGTGTAACTGAAAAAATAAACAGATTAGGGCTCTGATCGAGGACAATAAATGAAAACCAATGCAATATGATGAATGTCCAAAAGATTTTTTTTGCTTTTAAACTATGTGTGTGTGTGTGTGTGTGTGTGTGTGTAAGAGATTTCGGTTGGGTGACAGTTGTAGTTTACAGTTTGACAAAAGCACAATGTTGTGTTTTATTGTGATTGTACACAAATATAAGTAAACACTTTGCAGTTTGAATAATGTCCTGTATGAACAAAAGGACGGGGTATGTTTTTATGTCTACATTGTTCAATCACGCCTCACACACACACACACACACACACACACAAACACACACACACACCAACTATTTTTCTAATCAGATCAGGCAAGTAATATTCTGTCTTGGCACACTTCATATAACTTTCAAACTTGTGTACTTATTTCATGTGTGCATTAAGTCCATGAGACCGTAGGGTGTCTCATTTTTCATTTTAGGTTTCAGAAGGTTGCTCACGCATACTTTGTGGTTGATATGTGCCCTCAATGCACACTTTTGCAGAGCCCACACCAATGCAAGCTCTACAGCACACATCTTCTCAAAGGTCAAAGCGGAGTTACGATATTGCCCGTCATGCACAGTAACCCTAAAGGCACCGGGGTGGCGGTGCCACCGGCTTGTTTATATATATATATATATATATATATATATATATAAATATAGCTGCGAGCAGCGATGAAGGGCCAAAGCCGGCGGCACCGCCACTCCGGTGCCTTTAGGTAACTAAAGGCACCGGGGTTGCGGTGCCACCGGCTTGGGCCCGTAATCGCTGCTCGCAGCTATATTTTTTATTTAATTTTTTACTTGGTAAAGGTTTTAGCACTTGCTATGTGAAGACAAAAACAATCATGGACATGATTCGAAAAAGTTAAATGGTCCTGAAAGAAATAGTCACACTTGTTCTCCTCGCGGTCAAAAATGAGCGAATTGGAAATTAACGGGAGACAAATTTCATCTAGTGAAAACTTTTGGTACTGCAGCCAAACAAAATCTTATTGAAAGCTAATTTTTTTAGATGTCGAGCTCAAATTCGGAACACAACTCAACATGTACGGCTTTAATTTTCTTGCAGTTTTAGAGTAAACTTTTTTCACTTCAGCAATAATCTTTCAAGTGTCGTCTTTGAAAAGAGATCAAACTTAAGTTTGTGCTCTAAAGCATTTAAGATTTACAACATTTTAAGTTGGAGATTTAATTTTCAGGTTTATGCTCAAAAAGTGAATAAATGGAATATAAATATAGCGTAAATATAATTTAGTATAAAAAAATATTAAAGGGGCTATATGGAACTTTTTCCCCAAAATAAACGTAACAATAGACTTTTTATTTTACCATTTATGACTTAAACATCTCCTGATGAGCATACTGACACCTTGTCCGCTCACATTGGGTGCACCTATAAGCCTGTATCCTATTTTAGCTATTTTCTGTCGGGTCGAATTTTTCCCGCGCTGTCTGCGGATGTGACGTCAAACGCGTTCATGTTAAACGTTTCAGATCACTCTGCCACCACCGCTAGTCAGCAAGTAGCCTACACTCGCAAGCAGTGCAATGGATTTTGCGAATACACAGAAGAGACCCAGGACAACCAACAGTAACTCCACATAAGACTAAAAAAGTTAAACCCCTGACAAGTGGCCGAAAAAGATCGAAGATTGAGAGCAACCAGCGCCGAGCAAGGACTAGAGTGGACATCGGCTTCGCATTTGAGCCTTGGAGGGAGCTCAGATCTGTGTTGGGAATACGAAGTGACCCAGAAATGGCTTTTTTTCTTCTGAAAAGGTAATACGTGATTGAAATAGCACTGTGTTGTTTTCAGTTCACTTGTAAATGCTGTTAGTGAAGTGTGCACGTACGAGCGCGCGCTGTGAGAGTGAGCAGAAAGGAAGAGCAGTTCTGTTTTTTGGCCACAGGTGTCAGTCGCGAGTTTAAATTTCAGAAAAACGCATATAGCCTCTTTAAACTAAAATATAGTACATTTAGCCTGGCAAGCCAGACCTACATCAAGATGTTAGGTCTGGGAACTCACAATTGGCATGCCTCAATCTGAGGGGCGGGATAAACGGTTGTCTTTCAATATCCCTCGGCACGCAATAGGACAGCGCTACAACCAATCAGAGCAACGAACGGCTGTGGCTGTGTGAGTCCCATGCGTTTTCCCACCAGCGGAGCTAGTTGATATATTAAACTTTTGCCGTATCCGGTCGTCAAAACTCCGAACACATCTTCCTTTTTTAGGAATGACTTAAGTTATGTTCTCTTAACTCCAAGTCCTCCAGAGTCGCGGCCAAAGCCGTTTCGAAAGACCGCTGTTCGCCAGCAGCATCTTCTTTGTTTTCAAGTAGCAGGGAAATCACCCATGGAAATCACGCAGAACCGTCACAACTCTGCCGTCATTGTGTTAAGCCCGCCCACCAACTCTACACACGATATGATTGGCCTGACCAGAGTTTGGTTTTTCCACTTCGAAAGCCAACGGAGAGTTGCTAGACCACACTGGCTGCAAAATAATTTTTGCTGCCGCTAGGGTGCGTCTAGATTTCTAGGCTATAGTACATTCATTTCATGGACAAAAAAAAAAGTAATTTTTGATAGACACGCAAAGAGCACCAGAGGGTTAAACTGACTCTCACCTCTATCACTAGAGGCTCAGTTGTAGGCCCACGGCCAGTGATGACCTCGGGGGTCTTTTCCCCTTCTGTTCCCCTCTGGTAATACAGCACGGTGCCAGCAATGGGTGCGGCTCGAGAGAAATCGATCGCCCAGTGTCCATTAAGGTAGTACTCACCACGTAGGTTCTTGATTGCTATTAGAGGCAAAATGTAATGATAAAAAGGTTGATGCTGATGATGAAAAGTTTAGGATTAGGACCGTATTCACAAACACTCACCAAGGTAATTGCGTGTTGGTACAGTTTCCTTGATGCTGATAGTGGTGGCGCCAACAGGGATGATGAACATTTGATTGTAACCTGTAAGTAGGGGGTAAAACTACTTTTTAAGGCATATTTGTATATATATAGCTCCAAATGCGTTGGGTCTTGGGTGAGTTTACCTTTGGGCAGGTTGCGCATTGAGAAACTGTTTTTGACTATATTGCATGACTGTCCATTCCCTCCACACTGTAAACAGGGGTCCTCCTCCTGGGGCGACTCCAGCATGTTATCGCAGCCGAGACGCTGAAGAAAGACAGAGCAATAGTTCTCAGATCACACCCTTCACAGTCAAGGCAAAATACAGGGATATTGTTTTGAGGCTGCGCTTTTTAACAAAGTTCTATTGTTGAACTACACGTCCATCTAGTTCACGAAGAAATCTCAAACAGGCAATTAAAGGCTCTTACGTTGTTTTTTGAGGCAATAAAGAAAGTTCACGTTTTCACTGTTCCCTGTCTTCAGTGTATCTGCAAGGTTTTTAAAATCAAATTTAAAACTATTTAAGAAGGGCACAAATAAAACCAATACTATATATGTCCATACAGAACAAATACAATCTCATTAACCTCGAGCAGATCCATTTCCTCTCTGGATACGCGTTCAGTTTTTCCGCTTGTAAACTCCTCCATGTAAATAGTGAATCCGCCACGGCGCGAGCAAAACTGGCTTTAAAGGGAATGGGAGATGAGACTCTGATTGGTTTATTGCACGTTACGCCCAAAACACACCCATTACTCATTAAGAGAATAGGGACAACCCTTTTAGACCATCCGCCGGAAGCGCCGACCATTTTTCCCGTCGTTAAACTTGGAAAAGTGGATCCGGACACGCCCTAAGGGCACTTGCGCCCTGCACTTTAGACCATGTGCATCATTAAAATAGGGCCCTTTGTGTCACAAACTTGCGCTGTATCAATGCAGGAAGATGAAGGTTCAGAGTCTTAAACAGAGTTCAATAGTATCCACAATATATTCCAGGAGAATGGAGCAACACAAGTCAAACATAGATGACACCGGACAACTCAAAAGTGAAAACACTACAAATTATCCACCTTATTCCTACACCCCATGACGCTTTGCGCGAATTATGGGTGTAACTTCCGTTAAGCTGTAAACAATTAGTGAAAGGCTCGCTCTACGAACGCAATACGTTAAAAAAGTGTCACAATGAGATGACATTAATCGACTCACCCTTCAAACCATCGAACATTAAAAGGAAATTTAAAAGTGTAAAAGAATCAACAAGGCACTTTCAACAGACCAAATAGCCCCAAAAGCGCGAGTCTTTGGTTATACTATAGTAGGCAAATATATATATATCTGTATTGTATAACAATCCTTAATCAAAAATGTTCATTAACTTCAGTATTACGTGACACTATATCAAAGTGATTTCCGTCATTTTGACAGATTATAAATTGCATTTACCTGTGAAAACAAACCTGGAAAGTGACGTGAGGATTTGAGGAGAATAACGAGAGATTCTTCGTGCATTCCAGTGAATTATTAATGGAATATCGTAAATTAAATTCGGGAGAACAGACCACAAATGTGCCGCATATGTTGTCCTTTTTCATATGTTGTCCTACTTTTACAGCGGATTGCAAAGGAAAAAAGAAAATCATCATGAGGAAAAGAAAGCAGCGACTGAAAAGAGCTCTCGCCGTAGATTTTCTTGTTATATCATGTCACGTTAAAATACCAAGTATAACGTTATTCTCATGATGTCTGAAAATAAATCATGAAGGAAAACTGACAGCTCATCCAGTCAAACTGACGGATCAGCTTTATTTGTAGAGCAACCTTATGATTTGAAATGATTCGTTTTAGCCTTTTTGAATGGAAGTTCCCCAAACCGGAAGTGCCGCCCATAATTCAAAACCCAGTAAGCTCGTCAGGAATAAGGTGGATATACGCTGGGTAATGAGGTGAACACAGCTGAACCAAATGACAAATTCAGATGAATAACCTTGACAAAAAACTGAGGCAGAAAACACTGCAAACGAAAACAAAGTCCAAACAAAACATAACTGTGACATTATGATAAATTAAAAACAAATTGACCAAAAAATTAGATTTGCTCTGCACTCAGGTAGCTGCCATTGTTATTACGCTTATTATTGGCTCTTTGATGAATTGCTATTTTTCCTCTTGTGTAAGTGGCTTTAAATAAAAGTGTCTGTTAAATGCATGAATGTAAAAGTAAGTTAAAATAAGTGCTCATGCTAAGTGTCCTGGAGGATTGCTAACCTTACAGAGCCCGTCCACACAGATGTGCTTTGCTCCGGGGTGGCAGGGTGTGCCGTCCACCACAGCCGACTTCTGGCGGAAGAAGAAACTCTCTCCTCTGGGAATGCAGTTCAACTCACAAGGATTGTCTCCTGAACAGGCGAACAAAGACACAGCTGAACATCAGCACCGTCACCTGTACAGAATACTTTCACAGAGCTAAAACATCATAAAGATAAAACACTATTTTAGTACATTTTATTTAATTTTTTATTCAGTCAGTGTCTGTTTTGAGAACAGCATTAATAAGCTTCAACAACAGGTAAACATGTCAGCTGTGTGGATGCTAGGGCTGATATCGATTTCTCGATTTTAAACAATCTTCATTTTGATGAACCGAGATCGAGTCTACACTGTTTTCAATTGATGCGTGAACAAAACTTCAGTAAACATTATTTGTTGCGCCTGACTTCCAATAATCGCAATAAGCTTTATGCTTTGTTACTTTTGATATGAAACAAAGACTCATCTTTCAAATTTCGTCAATTTATTTTATCATGAAATTCAAACAATAAATGTAGTTTAGTGGCTCTTTAATGTGTGGTGACAGATCGCCGTAGCGCCTCAGTTCAAGCGGCTCGTGAACCGATCATCTCTTCCTCTTTATTACTAGTTACAGAAGCAAATAAACATGAAGGAACATCAGAAGAAATGCTGAAAGATACAGGACAACTTCCTCTTTATTACTAGTTACAGAAGCAAATAAACATGAAGGAACATCAGAAGAAATGCTGAAAGATACAGGACAACTTACTCAAATGTATCATGTTTCATGTAATCGCTTAACCACAGTTTCATCCACAGAGAGATGTCAATAAAACAACTTGTAAACATTGGGCCCTATCTTGCACCCAGCGCAATTGACTTTGTACACTGACGCATGTATCATTCGTATTTTGCACCCGTGCAAAGTGGACTTTTCCCTCCACAGACGCACGCCGGCAACTAGGGAATGAACTTGCGCTCCCTGGGCGGTTCAGCGCAGAAAAGGAGGTGTGTTCCGGCGCAAACAATCCCTGGTGCTATTGTGCAGTTCCAGAAAACAATTGCGCCACTGACCAGAAAAAACCTAGTCTAAAGTCAGTGGCGTGTTGCGCGTACATTCAGATGCTATTTTAAGCGCGCATGCTTGGCCATAATACAGAGTGTGAACAACGGGCATACACTGTAGATGATTCTCTCATCTACACAGATGCATTTTACTTTTTGCAAATGATACATTATTATAAGGAAAACTATTTAAACACGAGGGAAATCATTGTTGTGTCCATGACGATGGGAAAAATAGGCATAAAGCTTACACATTTACCCAAATTATTATATGCATGTTTAACCGAAGCTAATTTGGGTGGGTTTGTCCCGTCCCCAATGTCACTTCTCTTTCTTTTACGGCCCTGACGAGAACATCGATCTCCTCGGCTGTGAACCGATTCTGAAGCGCGCCAAATGCGCCGTTATAATAGTATTGCGCCATGGAACAAGCGCACCTCGTTCATCATGCTCTTAAAGGGAATGTGATATGACGCTCTTATTGGTTTGTTTCCCGTTACGCCCAAACCACACCTATGAATAATGAAGCTACTTCAGACCAACCCCTTTTAGATTTGCGTCGAGCGCAAGAGTCATTTATCCCGCCGGTTAAATCGCAACAGCGCCGAGATCCGCCCACAAAGTTACTTGCGCTTTGCGCTTGACACTTGCGTTTTAGATCGTTAAAATAGGGCCCAATATGTCACACAATGTTACATATTCATTATATTTTTACTTAACCTGTTGTCTTCATAATTTAATGTATGTGTAATAAATCTATTTTTTTTTCAAATCAAAAATCGTGATACGAACCGAATTGTAGGTTTGGTCTATCGTTACAGCCCTAGCAAGATGAGAAAGCAGGTGTTTAGTCGTTTATCGTGGAATTGATATCTGAACATCTTTGCCAAGCGCAAACCAGGACAGAAGTAATCAATAAATTATCGGGGAGGGTCGTGCCTTTTTTCACAATCATTTTGGAGGGTCATAGAAAAAATTATTGCTGGCGAAGGGAGGGTCAAGTCTTTTTTGACTACAGATCTCAAATCTCCTCCGGTGGCCCCTTACATAAATAACGAATAGTCCCTAAGAAGTAAACTGTCTTATGTGCATATGTATATATATATTTGAGTGCTGATTATTAAATAAATGTAATTAATTAATTATTTATTCATTTAACCTTATATTCGGATTTGGTTTTCCGGGTAAATGAAAATCATTTCGGTGCATCACTATTTTAAACGGTGCGTTTGCTGATTTCCAGTTCCTGGTCACTGTATGTCATTATATAGAAAAAGTAAAAAGCAGGATGAACATTCTGCTAAACTTACAGTTGTACAATATTCCATAATTATTTTTTTTCGTTTTTCAGCCCTGACACAACATCACTTCCTGTCTGTACATACCACCATAATATGGCAGCCATTTGTAGCGCTTTCCTTGGAAATCAGTGCCGTCGAACTGAGAGCACTGTTCTTCTCTGAAATCCCGGGAACCCTCGGGACAGTCCTGATAACTCAGATAATTCAGATCACATACACTACCGTTCAAAGGTTTGGGGTCAGAAAGATATTTAAAAAAAAAAAAAAAAAAAAATTAATCAGCGAGCATTATTATATATATCGAAAATGAAAGTAAAGACATTTATAATTCTATTTATATTTCATATATAATTTTTTAATCTTTCTAATTATCAAAGAATTCTTTAAAATGAAGAATATCACAGTATCCACAAAAATATGAAGCAGCACAACCGTTTTCAACATTGATTATAATCAAAAATGTTTCTTGAGCAGCAAATCATCATATTAGTATGATTTCTGAAGGATCATGTGACACTGAAGACTGGAGTAATGATGCTGAAAATTCAGCTTTGATCACAGGAATAAATTAGTTTACTATATAACAGCTATTTTAAATAGTAATCATATATTACAAGATTATTTTTTTATTAAATAAATACAGCCTTGGTGAGCCTTTTAAAAAACAATCTTCCTGACCCCAAACTTTTGAACCATATAGTGTAAATATTAATGATGACAAAAAAAAAAATCAACAATGCTACAAAAGATTAAATCCTCAAATATATCAATGCCATTAATTGATCAGGTATAAGCTTTGATTTCCTTCAGGCACAAGGGTCATTGAGCAGAAGAGCTTTCAGTGTGTACCTGGATATTACATGAGCGATAGGACTTCTCTGGACCCACACAGCGGTGACCCCCATCAGTCCTGTGGATACACACACATCACATGCAGATCAGGTGTTTTCACTCTTACGGGAAAACTGTTTTAAGGCAGTCTGATTAAACCTTCACTTCAAAAATATTTGCCATTATGCAAATTTGAAAATAAAGAGATCCTGTTGCGCTGTGTGTTCATGATTAGTGGTTGACTGATAGACTTTTTGATGGCCGATGCTGATTTATTTAAAAAGCAGGGTGGTTACACAATATATATATGTATATATATCACAATATATATCACACTATTTAATTTAACGATAGTAAATATCTGTAATAAGAGGGCGGGCTCAAAGTGCAGAATGAAAAGAGCAAAGCAAAAAGCCAGGAAACGGGTCATTTAAAGAAACAAAAACATGAAATATAAACAAAAAAGGACTGACCAAGCACAAAATACATGGGTATAAATAAATACACAAAGGCTAATATGGAAACTAGAGACACCTGGGGACGATAACAGGCGATTAACAGTGAACACTACAAAGGACTACAGAGATGGCACAGCGTTGTCAAAATAAAAGTCCCACTCACAACACTTCTTGGCCAAGCGGAAAACATATCGGCTGATGCTGGTGATTCAAAATTGCTAAATATCAGCTGATAAGATTGGCCTTGACTATATATCACAACATGATGCACGTTATAGGTGAACCACACTGCAGACTTAAAGTCCCCCTGTAGTCAATAATTGTATCCCTTAAAACTCATCTTTAATCACCCAAATGACATATTTAAACTTTTTTTCCTTGAAAACAAAATTCTTCATGACTTAAAATATCTTGAATGTAACTCGACACCCTTGCCTCATTTAGTATACGCGTTCTATGAATATACAAATGAGCCCCGCCTCCACTCACTCACTCAGCTCAGAGATCCACTGGTTGACGATCACACGTTGATCTGATTGGTTACAAGGTCGTTTGTGACGTCAGAAACACCAGCGATTTCAAACCGTGTTTTTGAGACTGTCTTTGGTTCACTGCAGTTTTAAGGAGGAAATACTCAGCAATGCTGTCGACTTATGAATTTAAACGTGGTTTGCACATCGACATAAAAACCCCCATTAAAATCTTGATTTTCACCACAGGGGGACTTTAAGTGAACCATACTCAAAATGCCTCATTTGGACTTTAAATGCCTTTAAGACCCCCAAATTGTGAAAACACCCTAAAATATCAGTGTCTAATATCATTGACACGTCTTAAGGCCTGTTCACACCGGGACGAATTTCAGGCGCGATATTCGCCGACGTTTAACGCCTCGTGACTAAACAAAGGGCGCCAATGTGTGTGTGCACACCGACACGAAAAACGCCACGAGTAAAAGTGTAATTTTTTTTTAAACGCCTCGGGTTCGTTTTTTTGGTTTGGCGCGCCGCGTCAAAAACTATCCGACCAATGAGATTGGCGCTTTTGCTCACGTGTCTGGAGCTTCTGAACTTACAGTAAAACACAACTTGGGGGCGCTCAAACACAAAACGGTCTTGCTGAGCACACATACGTGACGGCAAAGAAGATGCGCCAAGTAGCGTCTACCATAGATATCATATAATAAAGGCTACACCCATAGATATCCATAATAAAGGCTAGATGTCTCGTCCGCGCTGCTGGCCAAATATGGCCTTTATTATGGATATCTATGGTATACACTGCCGGGAAGAAATAAGACGAGGAAGATGCAAGGCAAGATGAATGTAGAGCTGCTGGTCTCGTTGCTGTCGGAACATAAAGAACTATATGACAAACACGACAGCGACTACAAAATAGGACTATTTCTGTTTTACATTAAGCGCCATCTAATTTCAGGGAATGAATTTGCATGTTCACTCGGCTCATCGTCAGCGGAAATCGCTTGGGTGTGAACACAAAAAAACGCGTTGAAAAAACGCTGACGAATAACGCGCGCAAATATTCGTCCCGGTGTGTACGGGGCTTAAGGACGCATAAAAACACACACCCTTGCAAAAGAAGCACACACCCACACAGACACACAGACACACAAATGCACAGAGATCATAACAAGTGCTTATGGGTGTGTGTTGAGGGCTGATGCCTCAATCTCTTCCGAGACACAACAAGGTCTGCTTCACTACATCTCAACCTGTCTGTTTCAGAGAGGAGTCATCCTGTTCTTCCACACTCACACATTATTAATGAGCGGATACATGGAGTTTCCAGTATTTCTAGATGTTAAGTCAGCACATGTATTACAGACAGTAATACTGTGCAAGGAAAAGGCAGGGTGTGGTGCCTGATTCACTCTCCCGGCGAGACTTGCACCAAGCTGGAAGAGAGATGTCTGAAAGTCCCAGAAAGATCGCCCCAGGGGGACGTTTTAGTCTTGAGCGAGAAGTGTACTTATGAGCTCAGATTTCTCGCAAGTTACCGATGTCAAAACTGTTTCTGGGAAACTCTAGATTGTTAGATTCCTCAATGCATCATCCATGCATAACAACTTCCTTCCAATAAATCACAACAGATTCTGACTGGTAGGAATATGTTTGTGTTGTTCAGTTTCTATAGGCATGGGCAATGGTGCAAGGGTGTGTATTAGACCAGAAAAGTATCATTTAACTCAATTTGGGCTGGGAAAATCATTTAAAGAAGAGTGGTAAGTTGATAGACAATCTGCCATGTTTTCATGAGCGCCATTCCCAGAGTAAAATGCAAGACAGAACAAGCAGACCAGATTCCAACACCCAGATTTATGGCCAAAGCTCTCAATGTCCTGTTGAAGACTTTCCCCAGCCAAATCCCTATCGCTCAAACACATAATTGTGCAATGTAACACGTTCCACTTAAAGACGGTGCATACTTGACCTTGCATACTTGACTAAACCAGTGTGTGTGCCAAAGGAGACATAGCATGTTACTTTTGTAAGATGAACCGAGAATGCCATAGAAGAAGCGTTTCGAGTTCCCTAAAGAATCTTTCAGCAGTTCTTAAAAGAAACAATTTCCCTTAGAATATTTTAATAATCTAAAGAAACTTTGTCCACTATAAAGAACCTTTTGTGCATTTGAAAGTTTCCATGAATGTTAAAGGTTGTTTATGGAAACGTTAACTCTTTCCCCGTCAGCGTTTTATTTGTTTAACTTGCCAGACAGCACCAGAATTTTTGATCATATTCACAAAACTTCTGTATGAATATGTAATCTGCTTTTAAACATCATTACAAAAAAAAAAAAACACATTTTATTCTAGCTTCATTCTTTTTTATCAATACTTGAATGAGCAAAAAAACGAACAAAAGAAACATTCAAAACATGAATTATCAGAGATCGAGTCCACCAACAACGTCGTAAACCTCTTTGCGGGTTCAACATTTTCCTCAGTAAAGTTACGCTATTTAGATTTATATGCTGTTGAATGTTTGCTGATCACATTAGCTTGTGTCTAAACAGCTCCTTCTGGTTTATGCAGATTTTATTCTTTGCTTGTTTTTGGATCCACAATACTGTTTTGGAAGATCCACAACAGCGCCCCCTACCTTATAACATTGAACACACCGATTGCTGGAATAACTCACCAATGGCAGGGAAGTGTTGTTTCGTAAATGGCGGGGAAAGAGTTAAAAGTGTAATAAGTAATATCTTAGAAAAAGAGAATAGGGGTTATTTAACTAAACACCAAGAGGAAAGGCATGGTTCCCATGAGGCTTCTCTAAAAATCAGTAAGGGTGATGATGATTTGTACGTTCGATTGTAGGCTCTTCCTCACACTGAATACTGACACAGCTGCCTTGATCTGCCTTGACTAGGTATTAGGTCTGTCACTTTTGTGAAAAAATCCTAATCGATTTTTGAGACATAAGTGTTCATTGAATCGATTGTAAAATCGATTTTCCATCTAAAGACGTTTCCATTTTCAACACCAAATACAGGCAAATCCACGGACACCTAACAGGCGTTAGGACGAGCGTAAAGAGGGCGCTTGAGACGCACAAGTCTGCAATAGTCCTGATGATTTATTGGCGTGAAGTTTCAGCACAATGACAAACAGGAGCGCAACATTCAGGGATTGAGATTAACACACTCGACCCGACAAATGCGGGTACAAATGAACTTTGGCGGGAAACGCTGTCAAATCACGAGCCAATCTGGCGTGTTTCTGTGTTTACTCACTTTGCTGGGGAAGTTCGTGTAAGACAAATCTGCGCGGATTTAGAGCAAATACGCAACTCGTGATCCTCATGATATATTAAATACAGCGTATCGCAGAATCTGCGCATTTCTGGCTTACTTGAACACACACACACACACGTCACTACGCAACACATAACCAGGGCCGGATTAAGAGTTCAGAGGGCCCTGGGCACAATGTCTTGTAGGGCCCCCTCTTAGGCAGGCCAAATGTATATTTTGTCCAAGGACATTTTAATATGGCATTTACAGTTTTACTGACTTACAAGGAACTTTGTTGTACTATGCTGGAGTAAAGTTCCTAAATGGTCGTTCTTTCCCATAGGAATTTGTAAAACTATGTTGGGTGCACCTCTGTGCCTCTAGGGGGGTTCGGGGTCCCCCGCAAGAAAATTTTGTACATTTTAAGGTTAAATGCATCAATCTCGTCCTCTTTGAGAGATCAAAATTAAGAGCTTCAACCCATGAACTGCTCGTTGAACAAAGAAAAAGCATTGATTTGTACCAGGACAATAAAGAGGGCTCAAACATATTTTTAGTTATGAGAGCCTCAGTCTACATTACATTATCAATGGTGTTTTAGGATGCCAAACAATTATTATAATAATGTAATAATGATTTATATAATTATTCCTATGACGTAAAATCCATTTAGCCTATAAATGTACTATAAATGAAAATGAATATTTCAAAAGTATATTTTAGTCTACATTACACTATAATACAGGAAAATTAAAATACTTTTGTCCTAATTTCTTCACTTGCAAGAAATAAACCCTTGAGCTTTTATTTAGGAGAAAACACCAGATAACCATGGTGATCGCGTGAGCAAAGTGCACACTTTTCTTTAAATCACCCAGCACACACAGGATGCCTATTCTTAAAGTCTTGTGCTGTTTTATAAAGGCACAAAGCCATATCATGGTTTCGATTTTAGTTCGTTGGCCAAATATAACGCTAGAGACCTTTATGTTAGGTTATACATTTTACATCTCATATGTGTAGGGAAAAGGGAGAAGAGAGAGTTCGGCAAAAGGCGAATTCGAACTCGGTCGAACGCATCAAAAGGTGCTTTCACGCACTTCACACGCTACGACCTACGCCGTTGTAGCTATTCCATCACGGGCGTCTTTTTGGTAAAAAGACAGGCACTTAGTGCAAATATACGCTCCGTTATCTAAAATATTTTTTTTCTTCCCCTCGCTTGGGCCACAAGTGCGCATGGCGAACTTGCAATGAATACATTTTATCAGACCGGCCCTCGCGGCCTCGAAACACTACCGGCCCACCGGGGGAACTCCCGACTCTCCCGATTGCCACTCCGCCCCTGGTGCTCAGGGCCCCTTAGATGTCATGGGCCCCTGGGCAAGTGCCCAGTTGCCCTAATGGTTAATCCGGCCCTGCACATAACGGCGCGCTTGTTCACTTGCATTGAAGTAATAGCGAATATTAAAAAGCATTTGGTGAACAGAAAAGACATTGTTATTGTCCAGCATCCTCCATGTTCTGTGTGCTGGGTTGATCTGTCCACCTAAAACACATTTTTGGTGAAAAAAAAGGCAGTTAAAATCGATTTCTTATTTTCGTTTTCGAAACTTGTGTTGGTTGGTCCGATCGATTGTGCAATCTATTTTCGAACGTAAAGTGACAGTCCTACTAGGTATATGGCTGAATTTACAGTTTTCAACTAGATTGTCTCCATTCAGCTATTTCAGCCACAGAAGAATAACTTCCCTCTCTCCTGTACATTTGAAGCACTATTTATGAACCCCTTGATATCTCTTCTACCCTTGAACTTACGCAAGTTAACTGTTAAAGTCCCCCTGTAGTCAATCATTTTATCCCTTAAAACTCTTTGATCACCAAAATGACATTTAAAAAAAATCTTCATGCCTTAAAATATCTTGAATGTAACTCTACACCCTTTCCCTGTTTAGTATATGCGGTTCTATGAATATGCAAATGAGCCCCGCCTCCACTCACTCACTCCAGCTCAGAGATCCACTCGCTCAACTTACTGAGTAAACGCTGCACAATGGTGTCGCTCTTTACAACGTCGTACACATAACGGTAATTAACAGCTAATAATGTGTTGCTAATGCTACACAAACCATGTTCCCGTTCGCATCTCAGCGTCAGACAGCTGCCGCCTAACAATCATCAGAAACGCTCTGAACAACTCAGAACGTCAGTGGAGAAAGGCGTATAGTTCATCATAACATCGTAATATACATCATACACCCGTTTTATTGCTAAATCTACCCGATTTTTCATATCAACAGAAAAATATACAGAGATATCTTGGCATCTCTCGAGACTCCCCTGCTAGTTCGCCGTTAATGATATGCTAAAGCCCGCCGGCACGTTGATCTGATTGGTTACAAGGTCGTTTGTGACGTCAGAAACACCAGCGATTTCAAGCCGTGTTTTTGAGACTGTCTTTGGTTCACTGCAGTTTAAGGAGAAAATACTCAGCAATGCTGTCGACTTATGAACTTACACATGGTTTGTCTTAAAGCATATTAAAAACACCACATAGACACATAAACAACATTAAAAGCTTGATTTTCACCACAGGGAGACTTTAAACTATTCAATAACCATTGGGTGACACAAATCAAGTGTTAGTAGAAGTACAGTAAAGAAAAGTCTCGATGACACGAAGCGTTTGTGAAGCGAAGACTCACCGCTGGGTTACACATGTCCTGGTCCTCGCGGTCACCCCCCCGCCACAGCTGCGACTGCATTCGCCGTACGGACTCCACTCAGCCCAGACATCTCCAGTGGGTTGCTATTAACAGTGGGGAATCATATGTTTCTATCAAATAACATAAGAAGGTAAAGTTGCCATGAAGTAGAGATATTATCTACCTCATTGTGATATACAACACTCGAGTATAATAGGTTGTAAAATGAATGGAAAATGTTGAGATTAGGGATTTCTAATGTCCGATGACTGATACAGACACCGCAATCTTGAGTATCTGCTGATATTGCTGATATTTATGCATATCTGATAGTCGATTTTTTTTTCTTGATCAGTTTTGAGTATCTATACCACATTAACTACATACTACTTCATTATAAATGGAAAAAGGGAGTGTGTGTGTGTGTGTGTGTTGTCTTTAAAACGTGTGTACCTACTTAACTAAATTTTGGGGACAAATTTGTAACCAGAAGTGACCAAAACTTGACAACATCTCTAAAAACCTCCCTTTAGGGACGTCCTCGTATGTAAATCTGGTATAAAAACAATCTGGTGTGTGTGTGTGTGACTTGTGAGGACAGAAATGCCCTTCTAGGGACAAGTGTTGTAAATTAGTTATAGCTAAAAACATTAAGATACATGCATCAGATTACTGTCAAAGTTCATCTATGTTATTTCTGTCCCTATCTAAATAAACTTACATAATACATTTTTATAATGACATGGGTTTTACACTGGTATTACAACGTGAACATTATTTATGAGGACATTTCTTGAGTCTTCATATTTAAAATGGCTTTAAAAACATACAAAGCAGTGTTTTATTAAAAATGTAAAAATGCATAAAGTTTTCAGTGATGGGTATAGGTTCAGGGGTAGGCTTAGTGTGTGTGTGTGTGTGTGTGTGTGTGTGTGTGTGTGTGATGGGTAGGTTTAGGGGTCGGGTTAGTGTAGGGGAAGAGAATATACAGTTTGTACAGTATAAAAAACCATCACGCCTATGGAATGTCCTCACAAGTATAGCCAAACAAACTGTGTGTGTGTGTGTGCGTGTGTGTGTGTTAATATACGTAACATCTAAAAATAAAATGTCAATGTAAGTTTAGACATACTGCTACATCTGGTAAAATCGTGATTTTAAAAACTGCAATTAAAAATCACTATTTGTGTTACAAGAGTTCTAACGTTCTTCATAATTGCATGAACATAATTGTATGCACTATAAAAAAAAAAACGTTTCTTTTGAAATGCATGGTGCAGATTTTTAATAAGACAACAGACATGATAGATAAAATAAATAGGCTACATATTGATTATCTTTTATAGCGCAAAACTGTCATAGTATGAAAGGTTCCAATACAGAGCAGCACAAAAGTGTGTGTACATTTACATGCAAATGAGCCGCTTTTCCGGAAGAAAGGGGCTTCGGATACTCCGGCAACGACAAAACCGGAGAATGTGTCAGTGTTCAGCTTTATATGTACGAACCGGAGTCGGACACTGATGGAAAGACTCCGGGTGAAGTTACGTTTCTGAATGGTTAGTTGATGAATTTATGTAGTTGTTGTGGAGTTAACTTTATTCAACTTATCGATTAGTATAGTATATTCCGTCATGATCATCTGTAAACTAGTACAGGTGCTCATGTGGGAACTTACCTCATTTCTTCGGCACATTCCCTTCATTATTAAAATGAATCCACTGTGTCTTCAGAGGCTCAGATGCTGGGAGTCTCGGGAGACTCTTATGTTCATTTGTACATCCAAAAACAGAACATTTGTAAAGTTTGTGCGTAGAGCTTATCAATAGGTGCTATAGCGAGGATATAAACATGGCGGACTATGTGCGGCTCACTCACACGGCTACTACTGTGACGGCCACCCCTTAAATCTGGAACAGTGTATTTACAGACACTGCTTTAGTGGATTTATGTGGATTCAAGAGGAATATTAAATTTTTATCATTATCGGTTGTTTACGCATGTAAAAGAGAATTTTGCATAATAAGTCCCATTTAAAGTAAGGTTTGTTCACTTACACCATGTACCGGGAGTTTTCCTTAACATTTACATTTTTCTGTTCCAGGGTTCATAGCTGTAATCTACTTTACAAGGTGAAGCACGTGTGATTTATTGGCTGAATCACCATTGGTTATAGTGTACTGCAGTATTTCACTCACCATAAACACAGAGACCAGTACCAGCTGCAGACAGACCACAACCGACAGCATCCTGAACGCTCGGTGTCAGTCCTCACTGAAGGGGACAGCACACAGCAGACATGCTGAAAACACAGCCGTGCCGCACAGTATCATGCCCACGTGACAAGTGTAAAACATACCTGTTGTTAGCCAATTCAATGCTCACACACACACACCCAACGTCCTGCAACAGACAATGGTGTGTGTTAGTTTTTTGTTGATTTTAAAAAAGCCCCTGAAGCTGTGCATGCTCAAACAGACAAGACACATCCCCTCGTCTGAAAACATGAATTATGAAAAAAACCCACACATTATTAGGAACGCCTGCCAAAAAGCCCATTTAAAGCGTTATTTGAGATTTACCATGTGCACTCATCACCATGCAAATCAAAACTTTCATTTTGTTTATTAGGTACCCTAGAAAAAATCTGGGCATCAAACACTAAACGACACACTGCCAAACTTTCCAAACACAACTCGCACAACAAATAAAAACATGTGCTGTAAAATTGGTTCAAAATATCAAACATGTTTCATATCCTCAACTGGATTGATTCAGTCTGAAGTAAAAAAAAACAAAAACACACATTTCCTGTGTAATTGGACAACTCCGATTTCCCAAAGTCTGTAGACTGGCTCTGAAATCTGGCAAGTAGAGTTGACTTTAACAGACTGTACTCTCTTAAAAATAAAGCTTCTTTAGTGTCGTTGCTTAATATCCATGGAATCTTCCATTGCACAAAAGGTTCTTTAAAGTGGAGAAAGGCTCTTCAGATTATAAAGATGTTCTTCACACTAAGAAAAAATGGATCGTTTAACCTGTTAACTGTCACCCCCCTTTTTTTGAATATACATGAAAATGCAAATTTCGAACTTAAATGCTTGTAATTCAAGAATGCTTTGGAATATAGACGTAAGATTGGTCTCGTTTTAAAGAAGACATTTGGCAGATTTTTGTAGAAGTGAAATAAATTAAGAAAGTGAAACGAAAGTTATAGAAGTTTGAGTTTATGAAAATGTACAATGTAAAAAATTTAATTATTCATATTTTATATAAGATATATATTTTCAAAACCTGGGCGACTCTAAAACTGCAACAAAAAAAATCAAAGCCAAAAAGTTGTGTTTCAAATTTTAGGTTGATATCTCAAAAAATGAGCTTTCAGTAAGATTTTGTTTGGGCGCAGTACCGAACGCTTCCAGCAGTGATGTGTAAACTGAATTTGGTGACACTGTAGTAGTGTGTTACAGTGAAGTTATTGACTGTTTTCGTAGTACGCTTTTCGGGGTTTGCACTTTGCAGACGGTCCCTTCGGATCTGTCTCTCAGCCGCCTGGGCATAGAGATCAATGTATTTTATCCACTGCGAAGGAAAGCTCGTTTTGGGGAAAATTAGGTTGTAGCTGCTTGTCTACATTACTACGATTAAAAAGAGGTGTCATTTGTGTAGTAACAACATTTAGCTGAGGAGTTATTGACCCGGGAAGTTCGAATCTGTGAAGTGGCGAACATGACTTCTTTGTCAGAAAGATGTCGTTGGTGTAGACACTTGTCAATCAAACATGTTTGAGTCTGACCAATAGAGAAGCACCCGCCCACTGCGGAACGTTTGTGTCGAAATGATTCAATCAAAAAAATTTGAACTTCAAAACTTTTTGCACTTCAAATAAAAAAAATAAAAAACAACGGAAAAACACTTTCTCTTCAATACTTATTTTATTTTTTTGCATTTGAACAGTTTTTTCTTTGATTGAATTTTTTTTTTTTTGATTGAAACAACTTTTTGGGAATTGAATGATTAAGACACAAATGTCCTACCCATGTATGGCCCAAACACAAAAAAGATTTCAATCAAAGAGAACATTTTCAATAATAATAAAAAAAAGTGTTCAAATGCAATTTTTGGAGTCTCAAATATTTTATTTGCATTCAAAAACGATTTTCTATATTTGAAAATGTTTATCTTTTCATTGAAGTGACTTTTTTATTGATTCTGTTGTTTGTTTGTTTGAAGCAACTTCTTTTTTGATTGAATGATAAAGACACAAATGTCCTACCCATTATATGGTCCAATCAAAAAACAATGTTACTTCAATTAAAAAGGTTGCTTTAAACAAAAAGAAACTTCTTTTTGACTTCTATCAAAGAAAACATTTTCAATCAAAGAAAAGCAGTGTTCAAATGTATTTTTTTGAGTCTCAAATATATTTTTGGATTCAAATACTCTTTTTCTTTGATTGAAAAGTTGTTGTTTTTTCATTGAATTGAAAGGTTTTTTTAATTGAAAATATTTTTTTGGATTGAAGCAACCTTTTGATTGAATAATAAAGAAACAAAACTACCTTCATACCTCTCCTCCTAAACGGGTCCGATATGTTCTCCGGTCTGCGGCGACTCGATCGTATGATCCGCTCGGTGCTGGTCGTGTCTCTGGACGGGAGCTGCGGCGGTTCGCGTGTTCACATCGAACGCGAATTTAATTATTTGCGCGAGTGGATTACATACTAAGTCAATGCAAAGACGCGAATAGACCCATCATTCGCGCCGGGCGTTGCGAATGACGCGAATTGGGCGAGGGGTTTGCCGCGAAAAATTTGAACTCGAGCGAATGTTCAAGCGTCTAACTAGACGCGATAGACGCGTGTTTGACGCTCTATTCGCGTTCGGTGTGAACACACCATAACATGAAACCAGACTTTATTCGCACCAATGGAAAGCATATTTAAACTGTCTAAATCGTTCCCTAGTCCCTATATAGTGCACTAGGTCCCATTCACCATGTAGAAAATAGTAAATGTTTGAACAAGTGACCGATTTCAGCTTCAGCGTGTATTTATAATGTAGGGGGCGGAGCTTCAGATTCTAGACAGCATTTGATTGGACAGAAAATCTGATGAGACGCTGAAGTGCAGAGTGATGTCATCAAAAGCGTTGATTCATATCGGCGGAAGTCAGAGACTGTAAGTTTTGAACGCTTATCTTCTAAATGTGAGTTTTGTCGTTGTTTTGGAGCACACTGGTTTATATATAAACTTAAGGCTAACATATTCCAGTCCTTCCAGAAAAACGCAGAGTTTTTTTGTGATTGTTGCGGGCAAAAATCCTTGATTATGCGGCCCGTTTTCTTTAAAAATCATATGCGCGATATTTATGCAATTTTATGAAACTGCGGGAAAAAAAGTGACTCCCCCAACACCCTGTTCTCTCTAGGCTACTACCTTAATGTAAAGAGTCATTTCTTATTACTTCCTATGATAAGCAAGCATATACATCACAGAAAGTGCTGGAATATTTCAGTTCTCATCTTGTTTTATTTCAGACTTTATAAACACATCAAACTTTCAAAACATTAATGAGTCAAACAAGTTCTGTAGCTTTACAAAAGGAATATGGTACAACTTCTGTAAAAATGAATAAATTAAATATAAAAATAAAGTGTGCTCCTGTTTTACAGCTTTTGGATGATGTTCGCGTCGCGTTATTACGTCACTTCATAACGTTCCCATGGCAACAGGGGGAAACGGCTGCTCTTGTGTGAAGCAAACGCAACATTTTTCAAGTTTCTGCTCAGATATATGCAGTGGTGTAGTGCAGGGTATACGCAGGTATACGGCGTATACCCACTTCTTTTTCAGTCGGCATTGCGTATACCCACTTCTAAATCCCCTCTGATGCGCATCATTTAGTTGCTAATCCAATCTCGTGAATAAAAAACACCCAGTCAGGGTCGTACCCCTAATATTAACTCTAATTTGTTGCTGCAATGATTCTCCCATCGCGACGATAACTGACCTTCTCATCTGATCTGCTTCAGCACTCAAACACCCGCTCGTCAATGTCAAAATGTTTGAGACCAATCAAAGCATGCAGGAGTTTTGTTCACAGAAGCGCGAGCCGAGCGCTAATCCCAACGCGACGCTTCACTTCAGTTAACGATACAGTGCGAGATAAGATGCAAGTAGCTAAAATATACGGCTGTTTTTCGATAGAATTTTTAAATGACCGACAGAAATAATCAGTTTGATCAAAGACAGTGGAAATTATAAGCTCAATTTAAAGCTGCAGTCCGTAGCTTTTCCTCTTTGTCGCCATCTCTCTGTTCGGAATCTGTAACTGCAGTGATTCGCGGAATTATCATCTTTACGTGGGTTGTAAATCGCCATGAAACAGCGCGGATGAACACAGTGCTTTGAGGCGAGTGCTGCTGTCAGTGACCGCGCTGTGTGGATACTGTCATACAGAATCACAGATTCACTTTTTGAAAGTTTGACCAACATAAGAATTTTCATAAGAAAATGTCTTCTGAACAAGTAAGTAAAATCCATTTTTGTTCTGACCAACTAAGGGGGAAAAAGCATTCGACATGATAAGCTTCGTTAGATTTAATCAACGCGATTTACAGCAACCGTGCAAATTATAGCCTACTTTGTTCTCAAATTGTTCATGTTAACAACATCAGCATTGCGTGACTAATGTTAAATTTAATGTGTTTTATGGTTACCTGCGTAGTTCAGAATTCATATTCTCCATAATAGCAAAACGAGAAAGGCACAACAAAGGAAACTCCATAACTGTGTGAATTAAGAAAACGTACTGTTACACGATTGAACTATTGAAATGTCTTACTTGTTCAGCAGAAAAAGGCCGTCTCTTCTTCCGTTTTGAACCCCTTCAAAACACGGAGTTCACGCACTTTTCAAAAGCCCCGCCGATGTTTAAATCCTTGTGTTCGCATGAGACGGTTTATTTCTCTTTCTCTAGCCACCTTAAATCCGAAGTACGAAGTCTTTTGGGTTTTATAACTGCTGAATCTCCAGTTGACACTGATGATTGTTGTTTGGATCTTTCTGGATGCCACAAGTTTAATCATGTAAAGTGCTGCGAGAAAAGCCTATACATCTAAACATCTCGTCACGCGCAGTATAGCCGGCTAGCCGAAACTCCTTCTTTATGTGTACGGGTGTGACGTAATGACGCAAAGACATGCTCGAATTTCCCGCGGAAACCCACCAGTACCACTGGAATTAAAATCATTATTACAAGCTAACCGTTTTGAATCTAGCTATGGCAAG